GGAAAAAGGTGTTCTAGGGAGCTGATCATGGGCAGGCTCTGAGGCAGCGGGCCTGGAAGGGGGGGGACAAGGGAAGGCTGTGGGTCCCTCTGATGTTGCCATTGGCCTCAGTAGGGAAGCCACTTCCACAGGAGAGATGCTTGCACAGAGAGAGGGTCAGAGCAGTGCGTGACAGCCTTGTCCTGGGAACCAGCGTGCCTGCGTTCCTCCTCAGCGGCCTGTTCCCAGCATTTGGAGAAAGTGGCCCACCCCAGGACGGTGAGGTGAGGGGCACATGTCTTACTAAATCGTGACACCGGGCTCCTGGGGACCGGCAGAGGCACAAGCAGGAGGGGAGCTGGCTCTGCTGGGGTTGCCGGCAGCGTCCTGTGTGAATAGCGCCCCCTTCTCTCCCTGAGCATCTGCTCAGCGCGGCCGGGCAGCGGGCAGCGGTCGCAGAAGGGCGGCTCTGGGCCCCGCCACACCCCATCACGCTGCAGGCGCCCCCTGCAGCCCAGACGGGCAGGTGGGAGCCGAGACGAGGCACCTGAAGTACGCCAGGCGTGCACGGGGGCGGGATGCAGACGAAGTTCCTGGCTGCAGGGACCTTCCATTCTAGAGGGAGGGAGGCAGGAAACACATAAACGCTCAGTCTTTCGTGGCTGCTGACGACCGGCACGGGAGACACTGAGCAGGGATAGGGGTGGAGAGGGAGGCTCCTGGATGGAGATGGCAGAGCCCGGAGTGAAGGGACGGACAGACAAGGGGCTGGTCTAGGAGAGGCGTGTCGCCGCTGGAGGGAACCTCAAGGACGAGGGCTCTGAGGGGAGAAGTTCAGCACTTGCAGGGAGGGCGAGAGGCAGGATCGCCGGGCCGGGGGTGCTGGCCCGGAAGACCGGGCGGGGGGCGGCGGGGAGAGTGACGGCAGGCTGGGTGCTGCGCCCAGGCGCTGCGGTGCCTGAGGGCGGTGACAGAGGGTGGCAGGAAGTGGTCCCTTGGGGGCGCACCGTGGAGTGGAGCCCGTGGGATTTGCCGGGGGAGTGGAGAGGAGGGCCAGGAAGGAGGGGAAGCAAAGGACGACACTTAGGTTTCCGGGAGGATTTGGGGGACGTCCTGGGAGAGGAGCGAGGGGGGTGTTGTGTGCTGGGCGGCCTTGGGCCCCGGTTCGGGCTGAGACCCTTGTCGCCCACAGGACTCTGAGTGGAGGGACGATATCCGACCTGGAGACAATGCCCGGGGTTCCTCAGTCCCAGGGACAGCTCTGCTTGCAGAATTCGGGGGCATTGCCCAGTGACTGCTGTCAGCGTGGTCACAGTGATAGTGTTGATGGCAAACGCACCCTGCGCCTCTGCGGGGGCAGGTAGTGAGCTGGGGGCGTCATGGGCCTGATCTCATTTAGCGGTCACACTTCCTTGCGATCCGATGGGGAAACTGAGGCACAGAGGTAGGAGCCACGATTCCTTTTCAGAGCCGTCCTTCATTACAGGGTGTGGCAGGCCCCCTGCTCTGCAAGACGGCGCCCACCAGCCTTTACGACTCAGGGACTCTCCGTCCCTCAGCCTCGCCTTGTGCACATGCAGCAGCTGGGCGCTGGGAGAGGATCGTGATGGCCGTGGCCTCTGGGGACCGGGGCGCCAGCCTGGCTCTATTATTTCCCGGGAGCTTTGTCTGGGGAGGGTGACCGTGCGGAGGTCATGGGCCGTCGTCCAGGCCAAGCGTGTTCTCGCCTGCTGTCCGGGCTTTGCTGTGGTTCCTTTTCCAGGCCCGGCCAGCGCCTGGCCCCAGACGCCCTCGCCAACCCCACTTCCTGGCCTCGCCAGCCTGGGCGTCTGTAACTGTCTTTGACCGCTTCCAGCTGGGCTGCTGACCGGTCCGTGGGAGCCGAGTCAGCCTCGGGACCAGACCAGATCGGGGAGGAGCCGGGCAGGAGTGGGCGGGAGGGGGCGGCTGGTGAGGGCTCCTCGGGGTTGCAGCCTGCAGTGACTGGGGACACTTTTCAAGGGGTTAACTCACGGCAGCCGGAGAACGCCCGTCTTTGGCAGGGCAACCAACTAACTGCAAGTGCTTTCAGAAAGTTACTAGAACTGTCTCCCCCCGACTTCCCCTGAGGACAGATGGGGCCTTGCTCTCAGGAGCCACAAAATGCCACTCATTTGAGAATCAGGGAACAAGGATGTTCATTTTATTCAACAAATATTTATTGAACATGGACCCAGTCTCAGGCACAGGGCTAGGGCCTCCGGCGCAAATACAGTATAAAAGGAGACTCAACCCCCACCCTCAATGCATCTGAAAGAGAGGCGACACCACACCCAGAGGAAGGACAGTAACACGGGTCACAGGAGTGGGAAAGGGGGGATGTGCGGGGGGAGAGTAAGGGGGGGCGGCCTCCCGGCTCCAGGGCTCCCCAGCCACAGAGGTGGCAGCCGGGGCGGGCGGCCCCCGGAAAAGGCGTGGGTGAGGACGGCAGAGGTCTAGTGCCCAGGGCGACCCCACAGGGGAGAAGGGACTTAGTGGAGGACAGTTAGAAAGTCTTTGCTGCTGCCGCTTTTCAACCAGATGTTTTCCACATGTCTGATAGGGTGAGACAGTGTTTTGGGCACTGACTTGTCTTACAAGCAGGAGTTCCTGGGGTTATTCCTTATGGAACGAGGTCATCTCAGAGAGCAGGACCTGGAGTTCAGGAACCGGTTGCTAAACCCAGAGAGGCACAGGATTTGGACTGCGCTTGGGCGTCCATTCCTGCTGATGGAATTAGCAGTGAACTTGAATCAAACCCAGGCATCGGGCTTGAAAACGACTTAATGGGCCTGGTTTTTCTCTCTTCTTCACCCCTTTCCTGACCTCCACCCTGGGAAGATAATTAAAAGGAAAGGAAATCTCTGTTTCATTGTAAATGTCTTCCACTATTTTTATGCCTGAAGCTAATTTTTTCTTTTTAGGTCATAAAGACGCTTTGATGAACAGTCTCTGACATTTGCCTCTCACCATAATAAGGGAATTTCTAAATTTTCGTGGAGAGCTAATGCCCAGAATTTCAAAATGTCGTACTCTCTTAATACGGCACCGGGGCGGGGCAAGGGGGCTCGAAAAGCTCTTAGAAAGAAGGTTGAGAATGGTTTTGACCCCAAAGCGAGCTTGGTGGTCCTCGTTCGTTAGACGCTTGTCCCCTCTTCCTCCCATGTTCCTGTCCTCTTAAAATCTGATTATTGAATTAGAGACAGTAAACAGATCGGATGGGCCTTGCAGAAACTGTGGGGTGGTGTGGTGGCAAAGGAGCCCCTTAAACACAGCAAGAGGTACACTTGACGCTGCGTGTTTAATATTGAAAAATGGAGACGTTGAGCAGACGGTTGGACGTCAAGACTGGTGACCTGTGAATGTGTGAGTAGTTGATTACAGCATAATAGTTAAAATTAGATCTATATAAAATAGATGTTTCTCTGGGCCACCTTTCGGATGGGTCAGAGAGCTCCCTGGGCGCTGGATTAATGAGAGCTGTCGCCTCTTCCTATCTTGCCACCGCCTGCCCCCCACCCCCGCCGCCCCCGCCCGCTTCAGAGCAACGACAAGGATCCTGTCGTGCTGGTTTGCAGAGGGAGTCGGACGAAAGGCACTTGGTTCGGGCCGGATCTTCCCCGGCAACTCCGGCGCTGTGCGATCTGGGTGGAGTATGCGCTAAACGTTGGCGCCTTTTATCTGGCTGCTCAACAGGTAGCATTTTGTAAATTTCTCTCCAGCCCCCCAACCTCTCCCTCCCATCTTCTCCCTCTCGAGATCCAAACTCGAGAGCCCTCATTTCTGGTTTGAGGAGACGTTGGGGATCCTGCAGAATACCCGAGTCGTCCGGGCAGCGGGGCTTGTTTACGAGGGGCGGGCACAGTCACGGGGCGCGCAGAACAAAAGCCTCTGCGAGCCGCGAGCGCGGGGCCCCCCTCATCCCGCCGTCGCCCGCAGCATCGCAGCGGAGAGCGAAGGTGTAAACGTGCGCGCAGAGGCTGCCACCGCCCGGGTTCCTACGCCGCTGTAGCTCCTGTTATTGTCGCGTCTGCTTCTCCTGCAACAGAGCAGTCCCATCTGCGGGCGAACGCGGGCAAACGCCCTGCCGCCCCACCCCCAACGCTTCTTCCCACCCATCTCTCCATCCGCCCATCCATCCGCCCACCCACCCAGGGTCCAGGGGGCCCTACTGTGTGCCAGGCCCTGGGCTGGAAACGGGGTCGGGGGAGCCTCCCTCCCTCTCTGCTGCTCCGGGTGGGTGCGGCTGGAGGGGCATTTCACCGCCGAAAGGTCCAGAAAGCTCAGAATCCGGCGGGAGACGGCCCAACTCGGGCGGCCGGGAGCGCGCGTCTGCCAGGCCGCGCGGGGTCCCCCCAATCCGCCACTGGGGTGGCGGCGCCGCTCCGCGCCCCCGCCCTCCGTCTCCGGAGAGGGACGAGCGTGGCTGTTGCGCGCGGGAAGGGAGGGGCTACGAGGGATTTGAAAGTGCACAGGCTGCGCGGCGGAGCTCGCATCTGTTCCCGCCGCCCGCGCCCGGATTGAATTTCTGCAAATTCAGACTGAATGGGGCTTTCTTCTGCTGCCGTCCAGAGGGCGCCTGCAGCCCGCCGCGCGCCCAGCTAGGAGCGAGCAGGCGAGCGGACCCGAGCCCGCGCGGATCAGAAGGCGGCGGCGGGGCGGAGGCTGCGGAGGCGCCGGGCGCGGGGACCCGGGCGCCGGGATCCGGGATCCGGGACCCGGGCACCGGACCGCGCCCTCGCCGCCGCTCCCCGGCCAGAGCGGCTCCCCGCGCCCCGGAGCGCAGCCACTGACCTCAGCTGCCGGACGGGACCCGGGGCGGGGCCCGCGCCCTGCAAGGGGCCCGGCGACCCTCCGAAGAACTTGTTGGGGGCGGGTCCCCGTCTCCCCGCCGCCTGGGCGGCCGCTATTGTCTGCGCGCGCTCGGCGGGGCCGGGCCGGGCGGCGGCGGGAGGAGCCCGAGCGGAGCCCGAGCGGAGCCGGAGGAGGAGCCGGACGGCGCGATGCCGGCGGCGGCCGGGGACGGGCTCCTGGGCGAGCCGGCGGCGGGGGGCGGCGAGGACGCGGCCCGGCCGGCGGCGGCCTGCGAGGGAAGTTTCCTGCCGGCCTGGGTGAGCGGCGTGCCCCGTGAGCGGCTGCGCGACTTCCAGCACCACAAGCGCGTGGGCAACTACCTGGTCGGCAGCAGGAAGCTGGGCGAAGGCTCCTTCGCCAAGGTGCGCGAAGGGCTGCACGTCCTGACCGGAGAGAAGGTGAGCCGCGGGGCCCTGCGCGGGCCTGGGGTCCGGCGGGTGTCCCCGGGGAGTCGGCCGCAGAGTCCCGGCCGCCCCCGTCCCGGCATTTTCTTTCCGGAGGGAGGAGGGTCCGCGCCAGTGCAGGCCCCTCTGCCCCGGCACCGCCTTTGCCGAGGGGAGGTCCGGGGTCAGTCCCCGCGGGGAGGCTGGCTCAGCCGAGAGCCTCCCGCAGCCCTTTGGCTTCTGGAAGGGCGCCGCCTGGCGGACACCGGCGCGGGGTTGGGGGGGATTCGGCTCCGGCGCGGTAGGGGCCGGAGATCCGCGGGGACGCAGGAGCCGGGGCCTCGGCCGCGGCGCGTGCGCCCTTGGGGTGAAGGCGGGAGGGCCGATTAGCCAGCTCCGGAGGGAGCCCAGCGTCTGAGCGCCAACCTGGGGAGAAGGTGGGGGCCTCCTCTCCACCTATGCGCGGGGGCAGCCGGGATAGTTTTCGTGCTGGAGGAGGGTTATTTACTCCCCCCCACCCCGACCCCGTGCCTGCGTGGAAGCTGCAGGAAGGACCCTGCTCTGGCGAGTAGAGAACCCGATACCCGCTGGCCCGGAGGGACACCCTCTTCTGCCTTGGGACAAGTTAGAAGTTGATCAGTTGTGACCTCGTGCCAGGCCTGGCCCAGGCGAGCCCACGTTGTAACTTAGGTCCGCGAGAAGAAACCCCAGACACGGTGCCTGCTCTCGGAGGTGAGTGGCTCAGGCATTGGGTCACCCCCAGCGGGGAGGCTGCCCAGGCCTGGAGTTGCCTCAGGCTTGAAGCTGCTTCTGCCCAAGCGTAGGTCCGCCCGACGCAGGGCTCCCGCAGGCTGGGATCGCGCAGCACAGGCCGAGGACGGTCGCTTTGGGGGCCCCAAGCCCAGGGAGGCATCGGCAGTGGGGCGAGGAGGGGGCTGGTGAGCCAGGAATGGGGCGCAAGGAAGCTGCGGCTCCCTAGCCCCGCCCACCAACGTGGGGCTCCCGGGACTGCCCTGCCCCTGTACCCGCCCCGGAGGTCAGTTGTCCTCCCGCCTCCCCGCTGTGGCCTGGAGCCCTTGCGTGTGAGCGTCCTGGGCTCTCTGCTCCGTAGCCCTTTGTTTGGGGTAAGTGGGGTCGGAGTGCACTTTAAAAAAGTGCCTCTTGCTTGGATTTCCATGCGAAAAGGAAATCGATGTTCAGGGTGAACTCCCTGAATTGAGCTACTCTTCAAAGAGGACAAAAACCGCACAAACTCTAGCCCCGTCTAGAGTGAAGGGAGAGAGCACACGCGGCCGGTGTGGGGCTCCTCCTTGCTGTGCGCTCGCTGCCCCGCGCGCCCCGTGTGAGTCCGTGTCTGCGCGGGTGGAGGGACCTGATTCTTGTGGTAGGATTAAGTCCGGTTGTGCGTGTCTGCTCGTGAAACTTGGCAGAGAGAGGCGAGGCTTTATGCTGACAGCCAGTGGCCCCCATGACAAGCACCATTTCTGTCGCCTGCCCCGTGCTGGGCTGCCTCTGGCTGCGCCACCTCCCCGCTCCCCTCCGAGTTGGGGTGCCCCCTGCAACAGGGTAACGTCGGGACGTTGGCCTTGGCTGTCCCCGCGCCAGGCCGCCTTCCGAGCTCTGGCCCTGCCTTGCTGCTTGGGTTCGGGGCCCAGTGCTGGGCTCCCTGGGATGGGAGGGGTTCCTGCCCAGACGGGGTCCACTCGGGGAGCCCCGCCCCCTGGTGCTCACACCCTTTCTCTCTGGTCTTCCCTTTCCTCCACCGTCAGCCTTGCATCCGGTCAGCTAGGCCGGAACTGGTAGTTGGATGTAAAATCTCTGAGCTGGACCTGCTGCTCAGGTCTCGTGAGGGCTGGCGGTTCAGAGGGCAGACCGGGGAGGCAGGGAGGTGTCCGGCCTGGGCCTGGCCTCCAGCCCCGGGGGCAGCCTGGGTGCCCGTTCCGTGGTGGTCAGCTTTGGAGCGACAGCGGCTGTCCTCCGCAGCTTCTCTCTCCCAAACCCAACACCGCTGATGCTCGACTAGCAGATCTGGGTTTCGGCAGATTGAGGAGATGAAAACGCGCGTCTCTGCCTCTGCCCGGGTTACCACGGGGTCGCGAGTCCCACCCCTGAGGCCAAAACGGGAGGTGGGCCACCCCACGCGAGTGCTGCCGTTCAGTGTCTTTAAAAGATGAGCTGCCAGGAGCGTCTCCCCTGGGGGAGCGCTGCTCCTGGGAGCCGCACGAGGGGAGCCCCGGGGCGGCAGAGCTGGGGAAGGAAAACGAAGCATCGCCCGGGTGGGTGATGGTGGCGGCTCAGGAAGGCCTCCTCCCCCAGCACTCCCCGCTCTTAGAGGGCGTCTGTGCTTCCGAGACAGCACTTCACCTCTCTCCTTTCCTTTTCTACAGGACACAGGCCACGGCGGGTGGGGAAGTCATGAACACTGTAGTAAGAAATAGGGGCGAGCCCCCAGGCCACCTCTGAGTGAGCCGATCCAGGGCGGGGGTGGGGTGGGGTGGATGGGTCAGTTCAGGAAAAGCTGGGAAGGCAGGATGGGGGGGGGGGAGAGATGATTTGAGAGAGAGAGAGATGGAGATGATTTAACTTAGTGCTCATTTCCCAAAAGACCGGGGCGGAACCCTCCGGGCCGGGATTACGCTCTGAGTCCTGATGGCAGACACCCACGTTTTCTCCTTTCCTGTCGGGCTTCAGTCTCGCCTCCCCCGGGGGTTGTTCCCCACCACCGCCTGCGGGCCGTGTTTTGCCTGCCTTTCCTCCTCAGTTTGAAAGTCGTTTGAATCAAGGTGGCCCTCCGCTGCTTGAAAAGAAAGGATGGCTTCAGCTGAGACCTGATTTTGTCCTCCAGCTGGGAGCTGGAGCAAACTCTGTTCGGGTGCCTTTGAAAATAAACAATCCAGTTGCTCCTGGGAAACTCCTGTAACAGGTGCGTTCTCAGGCGGGACCCAGCGTCTCCCGACTAACCTGTGCCGATGACTGGCGGAGAAGGCGTGCTCAGGAAATCAGGTTCCGAAAAGTGTCCTCTGTGGCTCTGAGACAGAGCAAAGTTGCTGAGCAGGAGTGTCGGGTGAGGGGCCTCGAGAGACCCAGAGAGGCTGTGCTCGCTGGCCCAACCTTGGTCCCTGAGCCCTGCCGAACGCAGAGACTCGGGCTCGTACCAGGTCCTTAGCGCATTTTAGAAAAACAGACAACGCAGCGGGGCGGGGGCAGGCCTGCGGGGGAAGGAGGGGACAGGACTCGGTGCCGCCGACTGTGAGGGCCAGGCCCCTCTCCGATCTGAAGCTGGGTGCGTAACACAGTCGGCAAAGGTGTTTAAATATCTTGTTCTAACCTTTGGTTTAGAAAATAAGCCTGTTTATGGCTTTCGTTGGAGCTGTTTCGGGGCTAAAAATAAAATTCGCCTGCTTAGTGTGTTGCCAATAACGATGTGCGGAGCATGGCTGCCCGCTACCTGGGGTGGGGGAGCTGCTAAAAATACACCCCCCTGCTCTGTGGAGTGGGAGGCACGGCTAATTTTAAAGGCGGCCTTTTGGCAGATCTGTTTTTAGCATTTTTAGCAAGTATTTCTGAAACAAACAGGTGCTAAATCCTGTAATTTTTTTTTTTTTTTAAGTGCTAGAAATTGAGGGGCAGTCGCTCTGAGGAAGAAATGCTTGGAGACCTGGAGATTCCTATTAGCCCTCGGCAGGGGTTTGTTGGCAAGCGCGCGGCGTTTGACGGAAGCACCTGCTCCGTGCGTGTTGTGCGCTGGCCGGCCCCGTGGTGTCGTGTGGTTTGCTCTGCCCCCCACGCGTTGGTCCCTGGGAGGCTCGTGGGGACCCTGGGCCCTGCTGAGGCTGCCGTGAGGACCCCGCCGGCTGGCGGACTTAAAACAATGGAGGTTGAGTTTCTTGGCTTCTGGAGGCCACAAGTCCCAAGTCAAGGTGTGTGTGGGCCGCGGCGGCCCCCCCACCCCCAGGCTCCAGGGAGGACTCCTGGCCTGTCCCAGCTTCTGGTGGCCGCGGACGGTCCTGTGCTTGCAGCCGCGTCCCTGCACACCCTCTGCCCCTGCATCCCCGGGGCTGCCCCCTCCCCGTGTGTCCCCTGTCTCCACAGCTCCCTCTCCTTCCCATTCAGGACGCTGGCCATTGGGTTTGGGGGCGACCCTCGTTCAGTAGGATGGCAGCTTCCTCGCCCCGCTGCCCGCCCCGGTCTGGTCGTCTTACTCTGAGACAAGGAGCACCGGGGAGCATGCGGTCCAGCTGCTCGGCCTCCGGGAGACATCCTGGCCTCGGGCTTCCCTTTGCCTGGATCCGCGGGCCCCTCTGCTGTGTCCGTCCGCATCTTAGGGCACCTGGACGTGCTCTCTGTGTTTTCTCCTGGGGGCTTTGCGCCAGCACTGCGCTTGGCTAAGCGGTCAGCCAGTGGGCCCACCGCAGAGGCAGCCTGCGCGCCTGGGAGAGGCCCTGCCTCCCCGACCCCTCAGCTGGGACCCCCGCTAAGGGCTGTGGGATGCGGGCCCGAGCCGCCTGCCAGCACCCTCTTGCCGCTGGGCCCGCTCTGTCCCCCCAGCGAGGCGACTGCCAATGACTGGGCTCTGCTTGCTTTTAAATCCGTTTTGCTTGATTTTAAGATCCATTTGGGTACGTGTGGGTGTAGTTGATACCGACCGTCTGAAGCTGAGAGGTGTCAGGCGGAAGGTAGCGAGGGGATTCCGCCGCTCAGCGGCCGTCCGGCTGCAGGACCGGCTCCTGCCGGCCAGCCCGGCCTCGGGCCCGTCCAGGTCTGCACAGGCGGCGAGTGTCCGCCCAGCGCTGTGACTTCCAGGTGTAGAACGAGGCGCTTTTCACTGTACCTGCGGCTCAGTGTCTCACTTTTTCTCGCCCAGCATTACGCCCGGAACATTCTCCCGTGAAACGACTGTGGGATCCCTTCACTCTTCGTCACTGCCCAGGCGTCCCCGGGGGGAGGGTCCGTGGTTGCTCAGCCGCTCCCTGTTCCTTACGTCCTTGGACGTTACTTAAAGCGCTAGGGGCAGA